GTGAATTTCTCTGTTTTTCAAATGAAACATGATCAAAGGGTTCATGTTGGTGATGATTTTCAAATAAATCTTGATTCAAATCTATGATCTGTTATTAGTGCTAAAATCTCTCTTTGGTCTTCTACAGGAATATTTAAAAATTCCATTTGCAACATAGGTTTTCTGTTTGTAATAAAAATTACTTACATAAGTCTCCCCATGATATTCTTATCTATCAACCCTAGCTATCAGTATATCCAGATATTTAAAATAATTCTTCACTACTGTATTAATATTTTATTCACAACTAAAAGCCACAAGTTAATTTTTATTTGCATTTTTGCTAAAAATTTTTAGCAAGAGAAAGCAAATATTTTTTGCTTGTTGGCAAAAAAAACTTTTTTTCATTCAAACAACCATGTAAATTTATACATTTAGATTGTGAATGTTATTGTAATATTTTGTATGTATATTCATGTAGCAAAATTGTTGACATCCCATCAATCTAGACTTGAAGACTTAGAGGTGAGAAGGAATCATGTGGTGGCAGAGCTATACAGTTTGCTTTTCTGTCAAGCAAGAATAATAAAAATGGCCTTGCAAACACGTGACTCATTCAGGATGCCTTGGTGTTTCTCTGTGAATGAGTTTCTCAATAAACTGGTTATCTTTATATTGATTAAGTCAGCCTGCCAACTGCCTGGACCAGCAGCTAACCAGCCAGCTGTTTGTCGTCTCTATATTGTCATTAGTGATGGAGATGGTGGTGCTAGTTAATATTGCTCTTGTGGTGTCTCCTTGGTTGAATGTAAATGTGGGTAGAAGCTGATCAATATTGTTTGAGAGTGGGGAGGGTGTTAGCTGGAAATGTTGTGGGTGCATACAGATGCACTTACTCACTCTCACCTAATACAAATGGAGTTATCAAATAACTGTGTTAATATATTAAATTAAATCATAGATATATATTGATTAGAATGTGGTTTATTCATATATGACCTATGTGTATAACTACCATCTGATATTCATATACTTACATACATGCTTATACATATGCAATTGTGGTTGTATACATATACAGATTCCTTCTTCATTCCACTGTACAATGTAACAAATGTTATTTTCCAAATGTTACAACTAGTGATAAAAACAAAACAAACAATATTTCAATTATCAAAGAGCCTGATTAACTTAAAAGATTTTAATTTTTCTTTTTTTTCCCAACTTGATATATTAATTTTACCATAATTTCCAATAAACCTTTCATAAAATAGTATTTTTTTAAAATCAAATACTTAAATGCTACTTGATGTCAAGTCACTAATTTCTCTACTGGAGTAATTTTTTTGTTTTTATGACTTCTCACCCCCCCGCCTTTTTTTTTTTTTAAGCCAAAACATATTTTGGATTGTAATAATCTTTTTTTTCTTCTTTTTTTTTTAAACTTGAAAACTTTTGGAGAATAACAATTTAACCCATAACTGGAGAATAGACTAAGAAGATATGAAAAATAAATGCTCATGTTTCGTCATTTGCTCAGATTTTTAAAATTGAGTCAGGACCCTCCCATATTATAAGCATTTACAAATGTTAACTATCACTAAGATTATTATTAAACTGTTGTCATTGGTAAGCCACTGTGGCTGGTAGAAATGTTTACAAACAGGTCAAGAATTCCTCACTTCTTATTCCTCATATTCTTATTTTCTTAAAACAATTCAAACCTGATGCTATCTCAAACATTTTTTTAAATACTTAATTAAAAATTACTCTTAAACCAGTGGCCCCTTTTTGACTGGAAATTGCTTTATTGTCCAAGTTAGAACATTTTAATGATATTGTGAAAAGATGACCTGTTTTTGTCATGTCATGATCACACACACAATTGGGCCATTATATATAGATTGCCATATTACATGGAAAGGCTCTAGTTCAGTGAAAGAAGAGATGCTGAAATCAGTTATAGCTGATCATCTATGGAGAGAAAAGGGTAATCCTCAACCTTTGTGGAATGAAATCATGATAATACAGAACCACACTGGAAGATAAGACAACTGAAATTATCAGCACTCATGTTAGGCTCTGACAACCTTCTCAGTTAACCAAGCATAGAAAGGACACTTGGAATTCCCACCACCTTAGTGAAGTCATTAGTTTAAACCTTTAAAATTAAAATAATGGATTGTTCAAGAGATACATACTTTAACAAATTAAAGCATTGGTTAAAGTATATCTGATATAATTCAATACCTGGATAATGCTGAAAAGTTACGTGAATAGATTAGAGAGAATTAACTGAAAAGAAATATCCTCTAAACTTGGAAAGTGAAATAATAACAATCTATCCTATGGATTGAATAAAGAGTTTGATTCAAAATTCTAAGAACATTACAGAATGAAGAAAGCTGGAGGTACAACAGCTAAAAACATGAGTATAACAACTAAGATGAGTAGAATAGTCTTGATGGAAAAGTATATAGATTCTTATTTGTTTTGAAATGAAGAAGGAATTATATTTATTAATAAAAACACATTATATATGTTTGAAAAATGAAAGTGATAAGATATTGCAATGTTTCCGTGCAGGAGGCTGATCATCACACACACCAGCTGCTGTTGCTGCTAATCTTGTCACTCCCTAATCTACTCTTTTCTCTATTTCTTCTCTAACTTGAAGGAATTTCTGCAATGTATTTCATGATGCCCTTCCATTTAAACAATATTTCAGATATTATCCTGCAACCTTTTTCTCCTCATTTCCTTTTTCTCTTAGATTGTCAGGGTGAACAAAATGTTTGATGGCTTTTCAAAGAATGCTGAATGAACAATAGCTTTTAATTTTGTATTAGAAGAAAATTCCTTTTCTGGACCTGTTTTTGATTTACTATACACTCCTCTTTTGATATTTTCTTAATCTTGTCATCAATTTTGACAGGAAAAAAAAAAGTTAGTCATTTAATTCTTCTGAAGTACATTTTAGCTTGAATCAACAGCTTAATCTGAATATTTTAAAATTTGTGGGGGAGAAGATGAGAGGGTTATGTTTTGGTTATTGACTTAATGGTGAATAAAGAAAAATGACTTTATTTCCTTTTGTTTCTTTTTACAATAAGGTCAGATATTATGAACTGAGATAAATGTTAATACAGGAGGAGGAGGAAGAGTTTAATTTCCTTTATTTGGTGAGAGCAATTTAATCTAACACTAACAAAACTGTTAATCTGTAGGTCTTTTCCTATGCTATTTTATTTTTATTTATTATCTGAAATTGATCAAACAATTTAAAAATTTTCTGGCAAGTTTTCCATTTCATAATTGTCTTATTAGTAAATTCTGTATAGAAGTTTTGGGTGATATAAAAATGATTATTCAGATTATTAAGTTGAAAAGATTTTTGGTGTAAATTTTATTTTGAACATTAAATTTATTGAACAACATATTTACTTACTGTTTTATCTTTTGCTGTCTTTCTGTCAACTGTCATTCTTTTCTCGCAGAACTTTTACTCAGCAAAAAAACGGCCTTGGTGATTTTGTAATTTTTTGAAGAATTGAATTTTTTTTATTAACAGAATTCTGTAAAAACCATAATGTTTATTTGAAAATGTAATGTGTTTAGCAAATTATTGGATAAGTGAAAATTTCTTACCTAAGCTGTAACAATTTTTGCTTGGTCACCAGTGATAGATGTGATCTTGCATTATCCTGATGGAATGTTATCAGTCTGTTTCTAATATTAGTTTAATTGGAATCTGCACTTGTTTAAATTAATTATTTTGTTTCTCAGAATAAGCTTATAAGCGGACTTAAACTTTAATCATATATACAGCATTACTGTCTTGGAATGAATATCAGAATTTAAGTTGATTCACAACAGTTCATTTTGCTTGTGAACCACATTCTCATCACCTTTTTACAATTTTTTATAAAGAAAAAGAAAAATGAACATTCAGATTGTTTATGTGCTGGAAATATAGTCTATTAGTTTTTTTTCTATTTAGATAATTCAATTGGTGCAAATGATTTTACTGCATGATTTGGATATTTTGAGTATGTTGACTGTCTCTCACATGTTAATCCGTCCCATGTAATATCTTGAATTGACCATTATCAACTTCAGTTGTCATTCAAACAAAATTTTGCAATGTTTGACATGTTTTCTTTCACAGTACCATAAACTGCATAAGTATTGGATTGTATTTGAGTTGCATTTCTGCCTTTCTTAAATAAAAAAAAAAAAAGAATAAAAAAAAAAGAGTATTAATAATATGCAAATGTATTGCTTATTTTAGTCCATCTTCAATTTTAGAATCAGTAAACAAAAATATTACACCAATATAACAGTTACCATAATATACTTAAGTAGTCATTTGGAATCAATTTATTTAAAACTAAATGTTCTCTCACACAGCTAAAACATCTTGGCTGATCCAATAGAATATAGTTTTGTGATTCATAGTTAAAGATTTTGCTCTCCTCTTATGTTTTTTATTTCTCTTTATTTTGTAGAAAGAATCCATCTATATAGAGAAAAGGTTTTAATCTTATCAGTACACACATATAGTGTACTGTTTTTTGAAACCAATGATAATGGTTTCAGTCCTTATTGGATACTTTAAGAATGTTCTATGTCTGCTCATTATTATGAGCAGACACAGAACTTTATTGAAATTGAAAGCATATGGATTTCACAAGAATAGATTTAATAGCTTTTTTATTCTTTAATTTTTAAATATTCAATGCATGAATATGTTTTGAACAAGTGACATAGACAAAAATTGTCAATAAAAATTTGAATATATTTATATAATAGTTTCTATAAGTATTGCATTGTAAGCCATGAATTCTCAAATTTTAAATTCCTTCGCCAAATTTGAGCTATTGTTTTAATTTTGTGTATATAATATTTGTAATGTACAAGTTAATGCGTTATATATGTTATATATCCATTTGTTGAAATTATAATTTCCCAGTAATTTAAGATTTTCAAAAAATGTTCAGATTATTTTTAAACTCTTTCAGCATTGGTTGGATCCAGTGAAGACTGTATACAAACAACTAAAAGGTAAATTGGTAACTTTTTTTGTTTTTCATTCTATTCATTTGTGTTTGTGTTAGAAATTAGTTTTTGAGATAATTGTTTTAAAGATTAACCATCGTAGATAAATTGTTTTAAGAAAAGTGTTTATTTTTCATCTAATAAGAATTAAATTATTATTTAAGCAGACTAAATATTTTATCACATGATGTTGACAAAGTTTTAAAAATGTGGCAAGTTTAGATTTTTTCATCTTATTACCAAATTTTTGACATATTTAAGAATCATTTTCAGGTATTTTGATCTTTGGCGAACATTCATAATTCTGTACAGTCCTATTTGGATATTTTATAAAACACGGTTTTGTACTTGACTTGTTTGGATCTGAGTAAACTGATATTTACTTCTTTGTTGTTAAATGATAGAAGTATTGATTTCAGTTACCCAGGTCTTTAATTTATAAGTAAACTGAAACATACAATTTAAAATGACTAATATTCATGTATATATACACATTCTGTTTATTCTTGAGGGGTCTATGATAAGTTTGGTTTGAAGCTAAACAATAAGTTTGTTTGTTTTGAACTTTTCAAAATTTCCTCATTGCAATCTCTTTCTTAATCTTATATATTTTTTGTTTTCTATTGTCTCTAGTTAGTTTTAAATATCCTATAGAGTGAATCTTATTAAGAAAAAAAAGAAATAGCCTTCAGAATTCATTGAACTCAATCTTAAAAGAATGAACTTTATGGCTTAGGATTGTTAACAAAGAAAGTAAATAAATTAGCACAGAACCTTAAACAAAAGATAAGGATTTAATTTTATTAATTCTGATTATTTCTTGTTTACAACTGACTCCAATCTTCACTTTGAGTACTCTCACATAAACACACACACACACACACACACACACACACACATTTTCTTTAGCCAAAAGGACAAAGGAAAGTTTTCTTGGATAACTTTTTTCTCTTGACTCTTATTATTTTTGAATTTTTGCTGTTTTTTCTCTGTGTCTTTCATTCCAGGTGTTATGTTTTAATTTATTTGTTACCAACTCTTCTTAATGTCTCCATATTTTGAGTAGAGTATATATAAACACCATGTGGTATTTGCATTTTACAGGTAGTTCCTTGCATGTTTCTCAAGTGAAGAACATTTTTCATCTTAGATTCTCTCACCTTCATTGCTATGTTGATGAGATAAACTTCATTTTCAGTTTATACTTTTCTGAATATGAGATTAATCAGCCTCTTTGATAAGTAGTGGAAGGGGCCATTTTCATTAGCATTAACATATATAGAGAAAAATGAAGTTCTGTTTGTTTTAAAGGACAGAAGTTGTAATCAGAAAGAAAACCATTGTTTGTCTTTGATAGTTTAGTATTTTTATAATGGAACAGGATGCTTTACCATAAGCTCTGAGTAAAAAATATCTCTTAATCTTAAGTTTCTCTTTACTAAAATTAAGAACATACTAAATGCTAACAAATAAATTATATACAATTGGGATTGCAGACCAATTATTATTCATTAAATTAAAGAAAATATTTTTGCAATATTGTAAATGCCATCCATAGGTACTTGAATAATCAACCTGTTATATGATTAGTATTTTTTTTCTCTTCAAAACTTGTATAGACTATTGATGTTTCTTTCCATTTTGGTCAAGCCATTTTTGAGCCTACAAGTCAGAAGGATATTACCTGAGAAAAATTGATCTCCCATTTTTACATATAGATTTTACACTTGGAGAAAACTGAAGAATGGATTGGTTAAAATGTTGTAATAGCAACAAAAATGATACTAGAAGCTCATACAATTCTGAAAATGATGATGACTCATTTCAAAATTAAAGAATATTTCAATAGTATCTTATTATCAATTTTATATTGTGGCCATTTGGGTATTAAATGAGTGCATCACTTAATAAAAACTAATGTTACTGCTGAAATTTGAACACCTTTCTAATGAGCTATTGATATGACATTTCAAACAAAAACATTTTCAACTTCTCTAGTTTTGACATTGCTTCTCATCCAAAATAAATTCTTCATTCAATTATAGCTGAAATTATGTACATACATGAAACTAAAAAAGAAATTGGGTTGAGAAAATAAATATCTAGATATGAGACAGTGTATACAAAGTGGATGTAGTCTATTTCTTGCCCTTGTGTATTAATCTTTATTATTGGTCATAATAGCTGATGGTTTTACTATAATAATCTGTGTTTGTTGGTAATTTCAGAGTATATGAACATGTACATTAGCATGCAAAAATTTTTGAGTCATCTTGATAAATTTTGTTAATTTTACCTGAGATTAAGAGGGATTAGGAGTATGCTTTTGTCAATGCATTTTATTATTGTTATACTGAAACACACCTATTCTATAGTTAATAGACTCTCCCGCATATAATAAGTAGTAGTAGCAGTCAATGGAGTTTTAACGAGAAATGGAACTGATGCATAAGAAGTTTCAAAACAAAATTCTGGAAATAACTGAGAAGAGGAAAGAGAAAAATCTACAAAATGATTCTTTTCCAGAGAATACCATATTGAAATATTCATGTACAGTCCGGATGAAGAGATAACTTTTGAAGAGTATTATAAAAAATATACGGACGTGTATAACGAGGACTGCCACACATGGTCTGAAGGAAAGAAGGTTAGACTTCTTTTAAGTAAGTTAGGAACTGCTGAGCATAACAAATTGGTAAACTACATTTTACCGAAAAAAAAAACTAGCAAGTTGACTTTTACCGAGGCGGTAAATATATTAAGTGAATTATTTGGTAAAAAGACATCTTTGTTTCACAAGAGGTGGAAATGTTTGAATCTGATGAAAGAGGATGAACAAGACTATATAACATATGCAGCCAATGTGAATAAGCATTGTGGAGAATTCAAGCTAGCAGAGTTAAGTGCTGACAACTTTAAGTGCTTAGTGTTTGTTCAAAGGCTGGTATCGGAAAGAGACGCAGAGTTGAGGAAATTGGTACTGTCAAAATTGGAAAACCTACCAAGGATTACGATACTGAGTCTGGCAGAAGACTGCACAAGATATGTTAACATAAAGAAAGATTCGAAAAAGATAGAACAGTCTGGCGTTTCGTATATAAGGAAAATACGCTACAAAAAAGAAAGTCAGTCTGCCAAAAAGAATTCTAAAATTGCGGATTATCAAACAAAAAGTGAAATACCAGAGAAAAATAAACAAAAACTCCCGAAGCCATGTTTTGCTTGCGGTGAACTTCACTGGTATAGATATTGCAATTTTAGGAATAAAAAATGTTTCAACTGTAAAAGACAATAAAATAAGAAAATTAAAGTCCGACGAGGTGAACGATGGAATAACCAGAAAATTTGTTACCGTCGAAATAAGTAATAAAAAAATAAAAATGCAACTCGACACTGGTTCCGACCTATCTATCATAAATTTGCATATGTGGAAGAAGTTGGGGAAACCAACTTTAATGAAAACAAATAAAATTGTGAGGTCAGTGACGGGAAAACAAATACAATTTATTGGAGAATTTGTTACAAACGTCACATTAAATAAAAAAACGCAAAAAGCTAGACTATTTGTCATAGAAAATACCACAAACTCATTTGGTACGATTGGATAAAAGAATTTCAATTATGGGATCTACCGATAAATTCTTTCTGTTACAAGGTTGAAAGTTTAAACTCAGAAGCCCAAAAATTAGTAAGGAAACTTAAGGAAACTTTTCCTACTGTTTTTTCTCCAGGTCTGCGAACGTGTACCAAGATGGAGGCAAAATTACAGCCAAAACAAAACGCTCAGGCAGTATTCAAAAAGAAAAGGAATTTGCTGTTTGCTTCAATTAAACAGATAGATAAAGAATTGGACAGATTAGAGAAAACCGGTGTATTTAAAAAAGTTGAATGGGTAACACCGACAATATATGTGAAAAACAAGCTTCAGAAAGTAAAGATGAAGCCGACACTGAGAAAAACTGGGGAACGAGTTACCCACAGCCAAGGACATGCAGTATTATTAAATGATTTAAGTCAACAAGAAGAACCTACAGAAACTGTGACTACATCCTTAAGAAACTCAAAGCCAAAGGTTGTTTCTGGTAACACTATGGAGGTATAAAAGAAAAAAAAAATAGAAAAGCAGATTGGCTATATGATGTACTTGGTGAAAGGGGAAAAACTCATGTGCAGTAACCAGATCAGACGTTTTGCAGACGTGATTGACAGCAGTCCCGCGAAAAAAACACTGATGGAGGTGATTTTCAATACGTTTGATCTAACAACGCCTGCAACAATTTTACCTGAGGTATGCCGATCCAGAAGAAAAAAGAAAGGCAACTGATCATTTAAAAGTGGATCAAAAAACATAGGAAATACGCTACGATGTTGCTTAAAAAAAAAATTTTCTTTTTTTGTTGTTTTTTCTTCATATTTTCTGTAAAAAATGAAAAATAAATAAATAAAACTTTTTACTCCTACAGAGTAGTTTTAGGGGGGGATGTTATACTGGAACACACCTATTCTATAGTTAATAGACTCTCCCACATATAATAAGTAGTAGTAGTAGCAGTCGCGAAGTGGCTCAGAGAGTTGGTGAGTCTGTGGATGTTGGACATTAAAGTATCAACCACCACAACTAGATTGCTGCGTCATTAACTATTATAACAAGTTCCTAACGTTTTGTACATCGAACCTTTTTAGGACTGACTTTGTGAAATACAAGCCTCCACTGTGAAACTACTCTATAACAATTATCTTTGAGGGCCAGAAAATAAGTTACTGCATTTTCCTTAATGTTATATGGTGGATAATAAAAATGCTGAAAAAAGGTCATGCAAGAATAACGGGGCACCAGCGAAAATTTAATCTTTCAGCTTTTTACTTAAAAATGAAATTTTTTCTTTGTTTAAAAGTTATGTTTATCATTAGTAATTAGTGTCATTGTCTTTGGTTTGAATTGCCTCAATTTGATGTAGGATTGAATGAAACAAGGTCCAGATTTTATTGGGAATTTTTTCCCATTC